TCCAAATCTGTGATTGAAAATTATTACCAGGGATCAGCCTTGATTTCTGGGTGGTAGGCCCTGTCCCTGAGCCCATTTAGAAGCTTGGAAGGAGCCCTCTTCAGCCAGACACAGTGCAGAGGTCACAAGGGAATGACAGATAAATGTGACTCCAGAATATTTGGCAAACGTCTGTTGCAACGAAAGACATCATAAACCAAATTAAGAGACAACACAATAGATAATTAACCAAAGGACACTGAACTAGAAAGTCAGAGAAGACAAAATGGGAAATCAACATAAAAAAGTGCTTAACCCCACAAAGATCTGGGGCATGAAAATGAAAATGCCAATAAAAGAGCATTTCCCACGAGTCTGGCAGACACAAGCCAGACAGACAGCAGCAACTGCTAGTCAAGATGCAGAGCAGTTGCTCTCAGGCCCTGATGGAGGGAATTTCTATAAATACCATTAAAATGAAAATGGCCACATTCTGGAGAGATTGTACAGTGGATAAAGCACCTGCTTTGCATGCGGCCTAGGCAGGTTTAAGTTCCGGTACCACATAATTGTCCCGGGAGCCTTACCAGGGATGAAAGCTGAGCAATGTTGAGTGCTCTCTCTCTCTTTCTCTCTCTCTCTCTCTCTCTCTCTCTCTCTCTCTCTCTCTCTCTCTCTCTCACACACACACACACACACACACCAAAAGGTGTAATTCTACTTCCAGGTAAGTATCTTGGACAAAAACTCACCACCTGCATGCAGTTTTGCTTAAACCAAGAGGAGGCCAGAAATGACAGAAACTGCCCTCGCTGGAAACTGGGAATGAACTAGGGCTGTGGAGGAGCACCCCCATAGACAGTTGCAAGGTTGGGGGGAGCTCTGTGTGTCCCTGCCTGGGAACAAGGCAGAGAGCCATGTTTCCTTGGAGAAAGCCAACTGCAGAACAACACACAGGGCATCTATTTGTCTGTGTCTGGGGATATGTGTCAGTATGTGCATGTTCTGGAAGGAGGTGGGTTCAAACCAGTGCACCTTACCCCCTCCAGGGAAGAGCAGGAGATGAGGGAAGGAAGTCCAGAGGCATTTCATTCATTCCATCAGAATGGATGCTTTGACAACATAAATGCAACCGAGGTCTACATCATGTCCCTCACTGCGAATCAAATCATGAGGAATCTAGGACGGAAAGAGGAGAGAGGAGGCAAGAGCAGGGAGAGGGCTGGGAAGGAAGAGAGAAAGGAGGAAAGGAGGAGGGGAGGATGTGAAGGCCATTCAAGTGTCAGGACTGGAAAGTGGTGAAGAATGAGGGACCAGGGGCTGGAGTGATAGTACAGTGGGGAGGGTGAACGCAGCTGACCTGGGTTCAATTTCCAGCTCCCCATATGATCCCCCCAAAATCACCAAGAGTGATTCCTGAACAGATCCAGGAGTAATCCTTGAGCATAGCCAGTGTGTCCCCATCCCCCCCTTTGGGGGGGGCAGAAGTGGCATGTGTGGGGTCAGAGAGATAGTACAACATGTAGGACATTTGTCTTGCAAGTGACCAACACAGGTTCTACCCCCAAGAGTCTCCTGAGCACTGCCACAAGTGAACCCTGAGAGCAGAGACAGGAATTAGCCCTGAACACCACTGTGTTCTCTCCCCCACTCCATCTCCTCCCAAAACCCACCCAAAACAAAAGACTCTGAGCTGGCAAAGTACTGGAAGGATGTACAGTGTTTCCTGATAAAACATAAAACAAAGGTGGGGACATTGGTGGTGGGAAATGTATACCAGTGAAGGGAAAGGGATTGAGGGATTGGAACATTGTATGATTGAAAACCAGTCATGAACAACCTTGTAACTGTGGATCTCATGGTGATTCAGTTTTAAAAATTTAATCTGTTTTTTAAAAAAATCTAATCAGGGGCTGGAGCAATAGCACAGCGAGTAGGGTGTTTGCTTTGCACACGGCTGACCCGGGTTTGATTCCCAGCATCCTATATGGTCCCCTGAGCACCATCAGGAGTAATTCCTGAGTGCAGAGCCAGGAGTAACCCCTGTGCATCACCACGTGTGACCCAAAAAGCAAAAAAAAAAAAATCTAATTTTTTTTTAATATAACAGAGAATAAAAATGTCATTTCAAGGGCCCTGGGAGATGCTCAGTGGTAAGAGGCCAACTCTGATATATGTCAGGACCCAAGTTCAACTCCCATCACTCCATGGCCCGCTGAGCACTGCTAGGTTTATCCAGCAGACCCACAAGACCAGAGTGGCCTGGCTGGTTCCCAGCACTGCAGGATCCAAGCAGAGCTGCATCTGGGGCTCAGTCTGGGTGGCTGAGTATCATGGAGAATAGTCCTTGGGCCCCCTGAGCACTGCACGGGAGCCCCCCAAATATATGTACATATATACATATGTATACATGACTAGGAACTCCCTGATATTTGGAAATTAAGATAATTGTTTTTAAATCCCCATGGATTCCAGAAGAAATGAGGAAGAAAAATAGAAAGTCTTTGCAACTGAATGAAGAAAACAATGATGCCATAGCAAGTCTCTGGTTATCATGAGTGCTCGTTCTCTCTCTCTCTCTCTCTCTCCTCTTTTGTTGCTTTTCAAGCCACACCTGGTGGTGGTCAGAGCTTACTCCTGATTCTGTGCTCAGGGAACTCCCTCACCCCATCTCCTCCCCAAACTCACCCAAAACAAAAGACTCTGAGCTGGCAAAGTATTGGAAAGATGCAGAGTGTTTCCTGACAAAACATAAAACAAAGGTGGGGACATTGGTGATGGGAAATGTATACCATTGACGGTGCTCAGGGATCACTCCAGGCAGTACTTGAGGAACCATATGGGGTGCTGGGGATCAAACCCGGTTGGCCATGAGCAAGGCAAGTGCCCTCCTCACCGTACTATCTCTCCAGCCCTGAGATGTTCCATTTCTAAGCTATACGTGCATAACGCAGGTCTTTGTTTGATGCTAAATCACTGACCTTACGTCATGGGGTATAGTGGGTGGGGGTGAGGGGGCTGCTTTTCTGCATGTGTGTTCTGATTCTTATTTAAAAGGTTATGGGGGGAAAAAAACACCAACGGCAAAGTTGGATAAGACACTAAAGGGGTCTCAGTAGACTCAGAGAGTTGAGAAATTTCTCAAAGCTCCCAAGCAGACAGATGGAAGAATAGTTGAACCGATTGACAAACGTGGAGGCTCAGAGACCCAGTGACTGGCTCCTGAGAGCAGCCCTCCGGACGTCCTGGTCACCGCAGGGCAGCCATTGGCCCCCCATCCAGGGCCTGGCTCCTCGGGTCCACACGCCCAGCAGCTGGCTGGCATCTGCTGCCCAGTTTCGTGCTGTCTGCAGAAAACAGAGCTTTTGTTTGCCCCATCTCCTCGGCTCCTAATGAGAGACAGAAAGGAGGCGAGATGGGCCCCCGCTGCAACCAGACTGCCACAACAAACAAAAACAGAGCAGAGGCCCAGCAAAATAAAGACATTCCTGAGCCCGCTGCCTCCAGAGCAAGGCCTCCCGACTTCCTTCTGCAAACCAGATTCCAGGAGCTTCTCCGGGGCCCCCGCCACTCCCCGCGGCTGCACCGCACGGGGTCATCTGAGGACAGTGATTCTAAAGTCACCGGGCTGGTATCTCTCAGAGTCCACAGCTACCTGCTGCCCTCAGACCCTGTCCAGCCTGCCTGTCGCCTCCTGGCCCAGAAACCCAGGGGTAAAATCACCCTGAATCACTCACTAACCACATGCACATCTCGAGCAAACACCCCAAATGCCCAGGCTGGTTGCTGCTCGCAAATTAGTCCATCATCTTCCTTCAAGCTGTTCATCAGAGAAGATGCTCTGTCAACCAAGGGCGTGAACTTGGGCTCTATCCACAATATAAAACATTAGACTTAAAAAAGCACAGAGAGGGGCCAGAGAAGCCCAGCACCTAAGGTGCTTGCATGGCATGGGGCCACCCTCTTTGAACCCCACATAAGGTCTCTCGAGCCCCACTGGGAGTGACCCCCCGAGCACAGAGCCAGGAGTAAGTCCTGAGAATCGCCGGATGTGATCCCATACCAAATAACTAACTAAATAAATAAAATAAAAAACACACGGAAACCCAGAGAACACGGACTAGCCAAAACAATCTTTAAAATGAGGTACAAAACAGAGGGAGTCAGTCACACTTCCCAGCCTCCAGTGGGGTCGGCAGCCATTGGCAGAAGGATAAACCACACTCCAAGGAAGAGAACTGAGAGCCCAGAGGTGAAGCCGTGTGGGAATGGTCAATCCCATGATCCACAAGGGCACCAGCACCATCCACTGGCCACTCCCAGGCATTTCCACGAATGATGAGGGGGCAGCTAGAAGGCCACACGCACAAGAATGAAGTTGGCCTTTCACCCCACTTCTTAGAGAAATGAACTCCAAGAGTATCAGAGGCCTAAGTGTCTCCATCAGCCACAGCCATGGTACAGCAGGGAGAGCCCTGACCTTGCACTAGCTGTCATTCAAGGCTCAATCCCTGGCACCATGGATAGCTTTCCCCAAGCCTTGCCAGGAGTGATCTCTGAGCACAGAGCCAGGAGCAAGCCCTCGGTTGCCCTCCAGCAAAAAAGGCGGGGGAGGGAGAAAGAAAAATAAAACATAGGGGTAAATCTCTATCATCTTGGATTTGGCTGGGGCCGGAGAGATGGTAAAGGGGTTGAGACACCGGCTTCACATACAGAAGAAATTGGTTCCATCCCCAGCACCACATGGTCCCCCAAGCAAGGCCAGCTGCAGTCCTGAAGGACACTGAACATCACCATGTGTGATCCTGAGCATGGCAGGGTGGCCCCTAGAATCCCCTTCCCCATAGGCCTGAGCAGCACCTCATCCTCTGTCCATGCACTGAACTGCCTGGGTCCAGCTGTGAATTGCCAAAAGGGGCACCCAGACCCCCTGACACCACTTGGCAGGCCAAAAAATATATATTTTTTAGTTGTCCATGTCAAAACCAAAAGAACTAGCAAAAAAGATAAGATTAGATTTCATCAACATTTAAAATATTTGAACTTCAAAGAGCAGGAAAGTAAATCTCTATAAAACCCAGAGACAAAGATTTATAATCCAGAGGTTATAAAATTTCTCTTTGGATCTTGTCTGGAGTTGCAGCAAGATGGGCGAGGAAACAGATCAAAAGCCCCATTATAGAAACAGAACATATTTTCATATATTATCACATATCTGATAAGGAAAGAGCAGAATATATAAAGAAGACTTACAACTCCTTAATAAAATGATAAATGGCTGTTTTAAAATGGAGAAAATATCTGAACTAAATTGTCTCCAAAGAGTAGATACAAGGGTCAGAGTGACAGCACAGTGGGAAGGCCATGGCATTTGCCTTACATGTGGCTGACCCGGGTTCTATCCCGAGCACCCAAGCCCACCAGAAGCGATCCCTGAGTGCAGAACCAGAAGTAAGTCCTGAGCACTGCCATGTGTGAACCAAAAACTGAAACAAGCCAAAAGGGATATATTTGGGGGCAGAATGATACAGTACAGCAAGTAAGGTAATTGCTTTGCACTCGGCCATCTGGGGCTCCCGAGTCCACCAGGAGTGATCCCTAAGTGCAGAGCCAGGAGTAAGCCCTGAGCATAGACAGATGTGGCTCAAAACAACAAGCAAAAACAGAAAAGAGGTACATAAAAGTCAATAAAATTATATTCAATATCATTGGTTATCTGGGAAATACAAATCTAAACCATAACCAGATATCACCTCACACCCCCAGAATTGCTATGATAAAAAAAAAAGTCTGACTCAGTTACCTGGAAAAAACAAACCCTGACATCCGTCTAACGCCAGGCACAAAAGTCAGATCAAAGTGGATTAAAGACCTCAATATCAGACCTGAATCCACAAGGTACATAGAAGAAACTGTAGGCAGAACCTTTCATGACATTGAAGCTAAAAGCATCTTTAAGGATGAAACACCACTGACCAAGCAAGTGGAAACAAACATGAACAAATGGAACTATATTAAACTAAGAAGCTTCTGCACCTCAAAGGAAATAGTGATCAAAATACAGAGAGAATGTCACATTGCGAGCTGAAAGTAGACTATAGAACAAACACGATGGCCACTCAATACCTCTATTACAAACTACAACACCCTAAAGGAAAGAGTGAGAAAAAGGGAATGCCCTGCCACAGAGGCGGGATGGGGGGGATGGGGGGGGGAGGGCTACTGGGATCATTGGTGGTGAAGAATGGGCACTGGGACTCAATCACCATATAACTGAAACCCAAGCACGAAAGTTTGTAAGTCTACTGTACCTCATGGTGTTTCACTAATCAAAAAAAAAATACAGAGAGAGCCCATGGAATGGGAAAGAATATTTACCCAATACCTAGCTGATAAGGGGTTAATATCCAGGATATACAAGACATTAGTAGAATTGTACAAAACAAGAAAACCTCCCACCCCATCAAAAAATGGGGAGAAGAAATGAGCGGAAGTTTCCTCAAAAAAGAAGCACAAATGGCTAAAAGGCATGTGAAAAAACTGCTCTATGCTGCTAATCATCAGGTAAATGCAAATCAAAACAACAATGAGATATCATCTCACAGCACAGAGGCTGGCACACATGAAAAAGCACAAGAACAACCAGTGCTGGTGTAGATGTGGGGAGAAAGGACTCTCTTTCATTGTTGGTGGGAATGCCAACTGGTCCAGCCTTTTGGGAAAACAATAATGGGCACTCCTGGCACCAGATTATCTCAGCATTGGCCACCATCCAAATCACACGGCTGCTTCTCCCGAAAGGGAACATAACACAAGGCCTCCATAACCATGCCACCGGACTCCACGCCAGGCTGCTTCACACGGGGCACCCCGAAGAGGGGTGGATGAGAGCGCTCCCTGCCCCAAGGGACCCAGCTCCTGCAGCCAAAAGCCTCCACAACCCAACCGCCACCACGCTCAAGGCCACTCCCCACATGCTCCTGCCGAGCCTCACGTATGAGTAAACATATTCCTGGACCATGCGGCCACAAAAGCAGCCACGTGACACATCAGAAAACACTCCCTACCCTCTCTCCATAATTACCACACCATATTCGATGGGGTTCAGACAGTAGGCAACAAATCATAGAGGGAAATGTATATATGCATAGATACATATTTTCAGACATATATACAAAAGCTCACATCACCCAAACTTTGACAACATGTTAGTGATATCTTATACAATGTCTTGATGGCTCCTGCCAAAATAGAACAATCTTCACACTGTTTCGTATATGAACACTTTTTTGTAAGCATGTTCTGCAGTTCTTCATAACAGACAATACGAAATATATTATTTTGGTTGTGTTTTGGGACAGGGATTGGAGTTTGGGATGGAAACATCCCAAAATTGGTGGTGGGAAGGTGTAATGGTGCTGGTAATGGTGGTAGAATTGGTGTTTGAATATTAAATGTAATCAAACATTGTGAACTAACTTATAAAATTAAAAAATTAAAAAAAAGTAATGTGAAGTTCATGCCCAATTCAATCAGCTTAATCAATGGCTGAATAAATAGCAGTGTTCCTACATTATAAAATAAAACACAATATGGGCATTCCTTTAAAAACTAGAAATTGAGCTTCCATATGACCCAGCAATACCACTTCTGGGAATATATCCCAAGAGTGCAAAAAAGCATAGTAGAAATGACATCTGCACCTGTATATTCATTGCAGCACTGTTCACAAGAGCCAGAATCTGGAAACAACCTAAGTGTCCAAGAACAGACAACTAGTCAAAGGAACTTTGGTACATCTACACAATGGAATACTATGCAGCAGTTAGGAAAGATGAAGTCAGAATATTTGCTTGTAAATGGGTGGACATGGAGAGTATCATGCTAAGTGAAGTGAGTCAGAAATAGAGGGACAGACATAGAAAAATGACTGCACTCATTTGTGGAATATAAAATAGCATAATATGAGACTGACACACAAGGACAGTAGAGACAGGGCCAGGAAGATTGCTCCATGGTTGGCAACCTGCCTCGTGAGTTGGGGGAGAAGGCAGCTGGGATAAAGAAGGGATCACTAAGCCAATCATGGTTGGAGGGATAGTTTCGGATGGGAAATGTATGCTGAAAGTAGATAAAGGACCAAACGTGATAGCCTCTCAGTATCTGTATTGCAAACCATAATGCCCAAAAGTGGAGAGAGAGTATGGGGGAAATTGTCTGCCATGGAGGAGGAGGAGTGGGGGGGGGGAGGTGAGTTGTGGTGGTGGCGGTGGTGGGGTATACTGGGGACATTGGTGGTGGAAAATGTGCACTGATGGAAAGATGGGTGTTTGATCATTGTATGACTAAACTCAAATATGAAAGTTTTGTAACTGTATCTCACAGTGATTCATAAATTAAAAAATTTAAAAAGAAGTAGTATCAAAAAAAAAGTCCGACTATGGCAAGAACTGGTGAGGTTGCTAAAGCAATCAAAACCCTCTGACCTTTCTGTGCCACATAAAAAATGCACACCTGCTTTGAAAGAGCTTGGCAGTTCCTCAAACAATTAAACATATTGTAGTTATTGCCTGATTCAGAAAATGTGCTTCTATGTGTATACCCAATAGAACTGGAAAACATTTGTCTACACAAAAAACCTGTATGTATATGCTAATAACAAGCACTGTTCATAATAGTGAATAGATCATTAATGTGGTATAGCCAAAGAAGGGAATACTATTCAGGGAGAAAAAAAAATGTAGGGTTGATGCAAGCTACAGTTTGAACGAACAATGAACACATGATGCTAGGATCTAGAGAGATAATACAGACAGTAGATCACTTGCTTTGCACATGGCTGACCCAGGTTCAATCCCCAACACTCCATATGGTTCCCTGAGTTTTCCAGGAGTGATCCCTGAGCACAGAGCCAGGAGTAAGTCCTGGCCACTGCTGGTGAGGTCCAAAAAAAAAAAAAAGAAAAGAAAAAGACGATGAAACCATTCACAGAAAAGCACAGTGTATGTGATTCTGTTTATATGAAATATTCAGAACTGGCATATCCAAAGAAACAGACTCTTTAGGACTAAAAAAAAAAGGGACAAGGCATGGGAATTAGGGTGTAAATAAGGAATATATTGTGTCTTTTTGAAAGTAATTTTTTTAAATGCCCTAAAATTAAAAGTAATGAGGCTAGAGAAAAAGTACAGAGGGTAAGGCACTTGGCTTGCATGCCACCCACTCAGGTTTGATCCCCAACACCTGATATAGTCCCCTAACCACCAGAAGTGAGCCCTAAGTGCAGAGCTGGAAGCCTGAGCACAGCCAGGGGTGACACCCCCCCCCCAACAAATACTTCAAAATTAAAGAAAACTAATAATAGATACCAACTCTGCACTGCACTGCACTGTCCTTCCGTTTTTTCATCGATTTGCTTGAGTGGGCACCAGTAACGTCTCACAACAAATTGTGAGACTGGTTGTTACTGTTTTTGGCATATCAAATATGTCACGGGGAGCTTGCCAGACTTTGCCATGCGGGTGGGATACTCTCAGTAGCTTTCCAGGCTCTCTGGGAGGGGTGGAGGAATCAAACCCAGGTCGGCTGTGTGCAAGGCAAATGCCCTACCCACTGTGCTATCACTCCAGCCCTAAATAGACAAAAGCCCATTTAGCTGTATACTTTTATTAATGTATGTAAACTATATCTCAGTGAAGCTCTTTTTTAGTGTGCTAACAACTATACAGTACACCTATCATGGTTTCTTCAAATGCTATCACTAATAAAGAATCACCAAGGCCCAGTGAGCAATTTCCCTCCCAGGGAGTGAGACCACCTCCTCCCTTAAGAGCCCTTAGGTATCCCACTAATATGACTTGAATGTATTTTTATAGGGGGCAGGAGGTTGGAGCCCAGAACACAAGCAGCCACACGCTACCTAAATCACACGGTCCTCTCCCTAGAGGGAATTCAGCTCAAAAACAACTTGGTGTCTCTAAGCTTACAGAGATACCACTCTCCCCTTGAAGCATTTGTGCTCAGGAAATTACTAGCTAGGCAGCATCTTCATCTGGTCTGTCCAGGGCGAGCCCACAGCTGGAGGGTTGGGAGCCCAGGGCAACTGGATACTCTAGCAAGGTCTGTGAAGCAAAAGGAACACAGCG